ACATAATATTTCAAGAAATCTGTTTTATACTATTAAGTCTCCATGGGTAAAGTGCAATTTATTCATGTCAATTAAGTGTGAAAAAAGATTTGCATCATATATTTATATGCTAGCAAAGGCTGTTACCCAGAGCCACTTGAGTGCATGAAAAATGGGTCTTTTTTTGCTAAAAGTGTTCAAATTCAGGTGGTTAATAACTCTGTATATCTATATTTTTGATACTGAAACATGTATATGTTGCTGAAAACACAGGAAGTAGAGTACAGTAAATATTGCCAAGCTGTTTTCCTTAAAATTTCTGGCCTTTAGCAAGTAGATTGGGATCCAGTTCTAGTAAATATATAATAAATATGAATATGAACAAATCCTTGGATTAAAGATGAATTCTAGGTATAAAAAGCTTACTCTGAGGAAGAAAAGACCGTAATTGTTGGTTAAGGGAATCAATCATCTTAGAAATGTCAAAAACAATTGATTTACTTTTATTGCCAGAGGTGCTTATGGAATTATCTGTTCTTGTGCCAAAATAACTTCACTGACTTGATCCCTGTCCACCTTGATTTGAGTGGAATGCAGAGCTCATCTTCTGGGCAGCAAAATATCTAGCATCATTCATGAAAACCAGAACAAGCATCCTGCAGCAGATCTCAGGGTTGTATTCTGAGGATTATAGGTTGAGAATTTAGATTGAATATCTTGGTAGTAATACAAAAGTGTGTAAAAAAGCAAAGGTAAACAAAACACTGCTTTAAAAAGTGAATTTACTGTCATAGGTTATAAAGAATCCACCCTGTATTTGATACTAAACTGCTCAGTCTTGCCATAATAATTGGGCTCTTGTTCTAATTTTGGTTTTAACCTTTGACAGAAGATCCAAAATTGGCATAATCAATTGAACAGATTTAATAAACTGCCCACAGACAATATGTTTACTTTCATCCTTTGATAAAGACAAATCAAACAGAATCAAACAGAGGGATCCTAATGGCAGGTGACTCTTGTTAATGTTAGAAGGTCAATTATGGGAATTGAAGTTCAACATATCTGAAGACCACCTTGTAGAACAAGACTAATCTAGTTTTTTTTAAAAGAAGAAATTGAGAAAATATTTGTTTGCTTTTAGATCCATAGGAAAACAAAATAAAAACCATCTAGATCAATTGCTCCCCTTCAAAGTTCTTATAGTCAGATATAGCTGATCATAAATGCAAATTGTTTTTCAGAAAAATAAAAAGAATCCCAAGCAGGGTACTAAGAAGCAAATCTGAAGTAAACATTATAAAACAGATAACAATCCTTTGTTGTCCAAGATAGATTATAGGAAAGATGATGCTAATTCTTCAGCTAGTTAATACCCTAAAATGAATTTCAAACAAGAAACAAACAAAATTGCCACCTCATCCTTATTGACCGTATAATAGTTACTTCTCACAACAACAACAACAGCAAAAAAAATTCCTGGTCACACAATAGTGAATTCTAACAGTTTGGTTCTATTGGGAAGCTATTGCTTAGAAATTCTGTTGAGATTCCATTTTTAAAATAAATATATTATTGTATTAAGCACACATTAATTAATAAGTAAGAAGTAAATTCTACTTAACAGGATGAGACCTCTGACCTATGCATACATATAGTCCCTGATTTAAGTTCACAATTGGGAATGAAATTTATGTGACTGGAATTGATTTTATGACCATTTTTACTGTGGTTATTAAGTGAATCATACAGTCATTAAGTCATTCTGTTTTCCACAATCAACTTTGCTTGTCAGAAGGTTGTAAATCACAATCACATGACTGCAAGATGCTGCAACCACTGTAAATGTGAATTGGTTGCCAAATGCCTGAATTACAATCACATGACTGTGAGCGGGGTTAATTTTGAGGAAGGGTCATAAATCACTTTTTCTGAAACTTTGAAAAATTGTTAAACAGTCGTAAATCAAGGATCATCTGTAATAAGAAATATGATCATTCATTAAAAAATCCAATTGTTATAACTGTTAGAACAACCCTCTGTCATGAGAAATAGTAACTTAATAGATTTGCCCCAAAATTTGTGCCTTTTTTAGCATTTTGCCTAACAAAAAATGGAATTAGCTGCCAAGGAATTACCCCCAAATATCTGCAAGCGAAGGTGTAAAATGTATCTCAATATTATATTGCTGTATGAAGATTTTAAAAATTAATTAATTTAGACCCCAAACCAAAATAAATGTGAAAGGATTTCTTCACTCCTGCATTTTCAAACAATTAGCAATAAATACAGAGCCTTGGTAGTACAGTGGTCTAAGGCACCCTGTTATTAAGCTGGTTATTAAGACCAGATGCCTGCAATTACTGCAGGTTCAAATCTCGCCAAGGCTCAAAGTTGACTCAGCCTTCCATCCTTTCTAAGGTAGGTAAATTGAGGACCCAGTTGTGGGGGCAATAAGCTGACTTTGTATAAATATACAAAAGAAAGGCGGCTATTGCTTAGTGCATTGTAAGACGCCCTGAGTCTCCGGAGAAGGGCGGCATATAAATCAAATTTAAAAAAAAAAAAAATACTTAGAAATATTTAAAATGAAGTCAGAAATTAACAGTCAGCATTCCAGAACTGCTCATGAGAGTCCTACATGTGATTTCATGGTCTTTTATTTAACCCTGGAAGATAAGGAGCAGATGTAACATTAGTATCTGACATCCACCTTGATCTGGGAGAGCTTTCAATGGCTGATATAGTTTAGCTGCTGTTTCCATGCATTTTCGCTTTCTGCCAAGTCTGATTCATTACTTCAAAAACAGTTCTTCCTTTAAGTCCCAAGATCCATCAACAGGAAACTGACCTGAATCAAAACTTTCGGACCAATACCACAATTTGTCAATCAGATAAAAACACAATGGCTTGATATTTAAAAAGTGGGGAGATGAAGTTTTCCTTTTAAAATTTAAAATACTGGGGGTAAGCAAGACATTAGTAACTTCAGGTTTTGGTAAACTAAATCATTTTCACATCTTACAATTGAGATATTTCAGATACATTCAAATATTTGGTTACAACATTGGCGCCAATGTCAGCTTTTTTGACATGAGAATTGATAAAAAAGGGAAAAATGGTTGATTATTGGAATATATACTAAATATAAATATATTAAATATAGAATGGACAGCTATATTTAATCTTAATAATATTATAACTAAATTTCTATTTGGACCATCTTTTCTAAAGGAACCTTTTTTCACAAGTGTAGCAGAATCCTATCGTGTTACTTGGAAGTAAATTCTACTTAGTTCCATATGGTTTACTATCCAATTAATAGAATTAGTTATTATAACTTTAGTTCTTACCTTTCTTTGATATGTTCTTTTACTGCACAATTCAATATCATTTCACTGCAACCTATCAAGAACTATTTTTTTCTGTCTCTACTTGCTTAAGCCCAACCTACAGCATCTTTCAGACTTAGGCCATACATTTGATAGAACATGGCACTAATTTACTAAATGAGCAATTAAACCAAGCTTTTAGACAATTAAGACTACAAAACAAGAGGTAACATTTAATGTACCTGATGGCTTCAATGATTTCAAGAGCTGATGGTATTGAAATAATGGTGCATAGATGACTATTATCTTAAGTTAACAATAACTATTTTAGATTATGTTGAATATGATGCAATTTTCAACTAATCAATTTTCTTTTCAATAATTAATGCTTTTATTACAATTTTATTTGAGAAAAAATAGTTATTTATCACTATAATTTTAATTGAGATTCTAAGATAGCACACCAGAAAAAATATCACCAATCTTTACTGACATCTGCTTGCAAAGTATTTCAAATATAAGCACTGATATTTCTGAAGGTTTTCCTAGTTAACATTTTTTTCCATGTGAAGACATATTATAACTGCTACATGAGATTGTCTGTGTGTGTGTGTGTGTGTGTGTGAGGGAGGGAGAGAGAGAGAGAGAGAGAGAGAGAGAGAGAGAGAGACAGAAAGAGATCTGTAAAGGCTAATATCATGGATTCCATTGCAAGTTTTTTTTTAGTGGAACTGGCAGGACTCTATGAATATGTATTTTCTCATTGCAAGAGATACTAAAGGTCCAATGATTGTGATTACTTTGCAGTATGTTATCAAAGCTTATCAAAATGTTGTTTAATGCTAAAAAGTAAATGTGTAGGCTCAAAGCCATCTCTCTCTCCTCTCTCTCTCTATCTAATCTTCCTTTCTTTTCATCAACATGATCTCCATTCCATCCATGCATTTTCTCATGTTTTTATTTCAAACCTGTATTGAGAAGTATGCTACTGTTGTAAAATAACAGACAATATTGACAAAAATATTGCAATAGGCAGGACCTTGTATACAGTTCAGGAACAATTCAGTAAAATTAGCTGCATTACATTACACAGTAAATAACTACACAAAGAAACTATATAAACAATCATTTCTTCTGATTTCAAATCTTGTGTATGTAAAAGTAGCATGTAGCAGTTTTCAAAATGATGTGATTAGGATGCTATGAAAGAAATCTTTTGGAAATAAAACAGCTCCTGTATTTAATTTTCAATTAATTTGTATAGCCATTGTAATCAAAGGATTGTCTTGAGTAAATTAAGAGTAACCTACAAGTGTTACCCATCAATGTTGAAGTTTAGGTTGAACTTCAAATTAACAAAAGTGGTTGTCACTAACTCAGCTTGTACAGGAGGGACAAGAGGCAGAGAGAGAAAGGTGCCATTCTTTCATTCATAACCCACCCACCCCCATCACCTCTGAAAAGGAGAAGGAATCTGTACAGGCATTTTCCTCTGCAACCCATAGTTAACCCAACTGTTGCAGAACTATGAACTGAAGATAAGAGCTACTTGAACAGACATACATGACTGGTATTCCATTGACAGTTACCACTACACATTTTTAAGGATCCATGCAGGAAGGCAAAGAAAGGATTTCAGCAACGGGTGGAGAAGAAAAGGGTGACTCATCAGGAACGGCTGTTCCTTACCTTTAAGATCAGATCCGTGTGATATTGGTCCAGCATGTTCGCCTTGACAAAGGATGTGATGATGACTCTGCCGTATCTCCCTGGGGTCTGCAGATCGGAATACAGCCGGTGCTTGGACCGGTTCACAGGGAAGAGGCTATTGACCAGGTTCCTCTCGATCTTGGCCAGGCTGTGTTTGGGGGCCAGCAGGTGTTCCACGCTCTCCTCGATCTGGTACTTGCTGAAACTGGCCCCCAGCAAGATGGAGATGAGCACGGGCGCAGAGGCAAAGAAGACCGGGTGGCTGGCAACGAAGTGGCCGAGTCTGGCGAAAGACGTTCTCAGTCCTCTGTGCAAGACCTGCCGCAACATTCTAGTGCAGAAGCAGCTCAGGAGGGCGAGGTGCGCACGACGGAATCTGAAGCTCTTCCAGAGCCCAGGCAAAACCATCGGGGAGCCCAGGCAGGCGGGAGCTTTCCGTGGGCTGAAATTGACCAAGCAGGCAACCCGCACTCCCCCTTTCTGCGCGGTGGGTGCTAAAGCTCTTCGCCTCCCTCCAAGCTGCCGAAGGGAGTTTCCTGGCGCCCCATTGTCTGACTTTAAACAACACCAGAGATTCCGAAAGGGAGGAGGGCGGGAGCAAAAATAAAAAAATAAAAATCGGGGGGGGGGTGTTGGTGTTGGTCAGCGAGGAAGCCAAGATCTTATTGACGGAAAAACCTATTTCTTTTCTCCACTTCTTATGGTGGCAGCTCTTTCTGCCAAACCAAGTGGGTGGGTAAGGATTGTTTACCCAGGAAAGATATATGGGGGAATACAGAAGTGGGGGTGGGGTTTGTCGGTAGACACACTCGCTGACTAACTCAGTTAAGCACAGAACACAGCTCCCAAGACCCTGGGGCTACGGCTGACTACACACCTGCAGAACTGAATGGGTGGTTTTCCTCCCCCACCCACGCCTCTAATCGAGGCCAGGAAAGAGACTCGCCCCTTTCTCAGCCATAATCCCGAAAGTGGGAGAGATGTGCCGTTTCAAAGCCCTCGCCTCTGCCGCCGCCACTAAGGCTGCGCCGGAGTTCAGGGTCAGTTTCTTTACCGGCTTTTTCATGACAGTTATTGAGCTGTATGAGAGGCTGGTGGCTCAGAACGGGCGACTAGGCGGAGGAGCGCTTTCTCGCCTCATCTTCCCAGGCTCATTTCCGGCACTGGGATTTGGACGGTCGCACCGGATTAATACTAAATAAGATAACACAACCCCTCCCTCCCACAGTGTGGGCAATTTAGCTGGAAGTCCCGGCTGCTGATTGTCAATTACCGGTGGCCTTAATCGGAGCTTCCTTGTTCGCTCGGGGTTGCAGTTTCAAGGAAACTATCCCGCAACTAGAACGGGTGTAATTGTTCTTTAAAAAAAGACGGGATCTTCCTTCAGGTGAGATCCATGTCAGCGCCGCCGGCATGTCCCATCCAAGCGAAATAACTGCTGCCCATCAGTGTCGGAAGATCACCAAGGAAAAGGGGGGAGCAAACAACCAACCGATTCCTGCCGCATGGCAAAGTTTTCAAGTCTCACCTTTGAAGCAGTCCCCGAAGAAGCCCGTTTGGGAGAGGTGGACTTATCCGCACGCAAGCGAACGTGGTTCCTATTGTTTCCCGACCGGAGCAGCGCAAAGATAGAGTTTTGTGTATTTCATTGGTTTCAAGCGATTGCTCTTCTTTGTCAACGCATAGTGAGGATTCGGCGATTTAAATGCCAGGGATCAGAAACGTCTCGGCAATTCCACGAATTTCCCTCTCTTACTTCCCTCCCACATGCTTCTCTCACTTGCTCCGTCTGTCTGTCTTCTGCTCTCCCCGCCTTCTTTTCGTACTGATTCTGTCTGCCTCGTTCTTTCGGTGCGATGCGGGTTCAACGGTCTTTCTGGTGCCAGAGGAGAAACTGCTCAATCTCTTACCTAAATGGGCATGTGCGAATGCTTTGCACATGCCCATTAACAAGGTGACGCTGCACAGAAGCCGGTGCCCTTAACACGTTGCCCTGAGCTTGCTTAAAATCTCCCCTTTTCTCTCAAAGGAAAAAGGTGCTATCAGGCAGACGGAGAATGGAAGTTAGTATTTGTGAAGCTCAGTATGCTGTCTGAAAGCAATGTAGTAGAAATGGGGTCTTGACAATTACCAAACAAGTAATACTGTTACTACTACTACTACCACTGTGTTTCCCATAAGACCCTGTCTTATATATTTTTTGAACCCTGAAATAAGTGCTTGGCCTTATTGCCATGCGCTCAAAAGCCCGATTGAAAAGATTCAGAATTTTATAACAGTTGGAAAGTGTGGTACGATTGGGTCTAGAAAAGGTGGGATAGAACAGATATATGATGATGTATATATATGATGGCAAATATGTATGTATAAAGGAATGACTTTATACTTATGGACAATGTAATCATATACCATGGTGGCAGGATTGTATATTTTATTTGTGTATTAGTGTATAGAATATATTAATAAAAATTTTATATATATATATAAAAGCCTGATTGGGCTTATTATCAGGGGATGTCTTATTTTGGGGAAAACAGGGTACTACTATTACTATCAAACTACAAAATCCAATGTCCTTGGGAAAGACTCCATAGGTGGATAAAAATGCTAAATCTAGTCTAAACATCTGGCTGACTGTGCAGTGAACCATAATAATATAAACTGTGGTTAAAAAGATACAATATGACATTCCAGTTCCTGGAAAGAACTCAGTGTGTATGAAGGCGAACACAAGCTAAAGAACTGACAGTTGTGATTTCACATTTTTGTAAAATAACAGCAACAATAATAATAACAATTTTCTGCAATAACACCAGCAGAATTTCAAAAAACTGCACTACTCAGAACATATATTTTAAGAAGATACTTGGTTGATATCTAGGACGCTGGCAGCAATTCGAATCAACCATTAGCACCAGTCAATCGTATTTGTGACACATTTTTAAATGTTCAATTGACTGAGTTTAACGAATAAAAGAGATGATGATGATGATAATGATGATGATGATGATGATAATAATAATAATAATAATAATAATAATAATAATAATAATAATAATAATAACTGAATTTATTAATTGAAAACACAAAAGAATTCAGCCAAGACATTGGTATGCAGTTTGGAATTGACAAATGTGCAATAATAGCAACCAAAGCAGGCAAGATCATAGAAGAGGATGGAATAGAACTAGAGAATGAAGAAATGATAAAGGCAGTAAAATCAGAAGAAGGCTACAAGTACTTGGGGATTTTAGAAGCCTCTGACTTAATGCATAATAAAGTCAAGGAATTAACTTCAGCCAAGTACATTCGGCGAATTCGTAAGATATTAATGCCCAAATTGAGTGGAGGAAACATCATAAAAGCCATAAATACCTGGGCTATACCTGTGATTAGATACTCTGCAGAAATAATTGACTGGACCCAGATGGAGTTAGACAATTTGGACAGAAAAACAAAGAAGCTTATGACAATGAATCATGCCTTGCACCCTAAAAGTGATGTTGACCAATTATATTTACCAAGAGCAGAGGGTGGTCGAGGACTCCTACAAGTAAAGCAGACTGTGGAAGAAGAAAAATGCAGCTTGAATGATTACATCCAGAAAAGTGAAGAACCAATGATTAAGGAAGTAAATAAAGGAGGCCTTTTAAAGACAACTAAAACAAAAGCAGAATATAAGAAAGAAGTAATTGACCACAAGCTGAAAATTGGAAACACAAAGCTCTGCATGGCCAATACTTGAAAAGTATTGAAGGCAAAGCTGACCAGAAACTAACCTGGAACTGGTTAAGATCAGGAGTAGTGAAAAAAGAAACGGAAAGCTTTATTTTGGCAGCTCAAGAACAAGCCCTAGCCACAAACTGCATGAAGGCAAAAATTCAACATGTTACCACCAACAGCAAATGCCGCCTCTGCAATGAGAAAGATGAGACAGTCGACCACCTGATCAGTGGGTGCAGCAAAATTTCACAAACTGACTACCTACAACGCCATGACCATGTTGCTAAGATCATTCACTGGAAATTGTGCCAGAAGTTTGGATTTGAGTACAGCAAAAACCACTGGGAACATCAGGTTGAGAAAGTTTTAGAGAATGAGAAACTCAAGATCTTGTGGGACTTTAGGATTCAGACTGACAGGTACTTGGTCCACAACACACCTGACATAACAATAGTTGAAAAGAAAAAAGTATGGTTCATTGAAATTGCAATACCTGGTGATGCACGGATTGAAGATAAGCAGCAAGAAAAAATCACAAAGTACCGGGATTTGCAAATTGAAGTTGAGCGACTGTGGAAAAAGAAATTGTGTGTTGTCCCGATTGTAATTGGAGCCCTTGGAGCAATACCCAAAGGGCTACCCCGCTATTTAGAAATTCTAAATTTGCCGGACTTGAACATTTTGACTCTACAAAAAACCACCTTACTCAGAACAGCTTACATCCTCCGACGATACCTTAACAGTTCCTAGGTCCTTGGTTAGGACTCGAGCTGCTGAGCTATTAACCAGCCTCAAAGGCTGTGAATCTCACTAAAGATTAAATAATAATAATAATAATAATAATAATAATAATAATAATAATAATAATAATAATAATAAACAACTACATCCCCATGGGGTGCCACGTTGACATGGTGGGGGGCTTAACTGCTACCAGCAGGTCCAACCATGTCAGAGAGGTCTAGGCTGAGGAGCAGAACTGAGTGCACCCAACAACCCATGCAATGAATCATTGCATCATTGAATCAACACAACTGAACGAAGCCTATATCAGCTCGGTCGTCGCCCGGGTTAACAAGGACCGCATTAGGTGTTGGGGAACCTGGCCATCGGTCGACAAGTAGGCTACAGGCCACGGGTCCCATAGCTGAGGAACCAGGGCATGGGCCTGTAGAGTGACTGGAAGATGAACAACCTCAGAAGCGGCAGAAATACACCATGTCAGAGAACTGCAATGTAATGAAATGCTACTACAAAGCAGAACCAGAGAAATGAGGCTACCAAAAAAGGATGTACCAATTATGGAAACAAGAATACCCAGACTCAAGGATAACTGAATTACGATTAGCCGATCAGCAATGATTCATCACTTAGAACAAAGTGCTCAGTGAAATCGAACTTGAAGAAATATGGAAAAATTGTGAAATGGGAACACAGACTGCTGAACAACAGACTGCTGGAGTGGCAGCAGAAAATACTCCAATAACGTCTGGAGCAACTGAATAGCTTGAATTCGAAAAAAATGCAGATATTCTGCAAGAACAGGATCAGCAAAGGCTTGAAGTGATCATTGAAACACCAGGAGTACTCAATGCCAGGCAGCAAGAACTGAAAGCTAAAATCTTGGCACATGCTGCAATAAATGCAGAAAGAAAAAGGCTTCCAACATTGAAGACTGTCCCTAGAAAACATTTGGCACCATTGCTGATAGATGCGAACTATGCACTTGCAGCAGTCCAGATAACATCAATTGAACAAACAAATCAGCTTGCCTACAGTACAGCATAGTACAGCATAGTAACGGAAGAACTGGGGATTCAACAGCTGCAAGCCCCTAGAAAATCGACTGGAAAACCGCAATGGAAAATCAGGTTGGAGTTGAAAATCAAGAGCCTGTGAGCAGATGCAAGCAACTTGAAGAATCTGCAGAAGAAAAAGCTGAAGGACAGCAAGATCAAGAAACACCTGATAAAAAAATATGGGCTCAGCACAAGAAGAAATGACGAAGCATTGGAAATTGTGAAGCAGCAGATAACAGCAACAGCAAGAAAAATTGAAAGATACGAAGCTAGAGTCATCCAGTACAAACAAAATCAATTGTTCCAATCAGACCAAAGACGGTTCTATCAGAGTCTGAATGTGGAATTGGGATCATAGAAACACCCAGGAGCATAGAAGAATTCAGAGGTAGATGCATAAATAAATGTCTTAAACCTATTTATTCATATGATAAATCATATTAACTATGTACAACAGAGATCAAGTCTCATGAGGAACAAACATGAAAAGAGAGAGATGGAGAGAGCGAGGTGGAAAAGGTTGGAGGGGGTTTTATACTCAGGGTAAGCCCCTCCTTTCCACATAGGGGTGGAGACACTCTCTGCCTCCACTGATGTCTGTATGACACATATGCCAATGGCTTGCAAATACTTGACAGTTCCCCTCCTTGCGAGCCAATGGCATGCAAACACACTAATGCAATGCACAACAGATTTTACCCTGTGAGACATAACTTCCTACACAGATCTTTGTGCCTATCCGCTGGTAGAGGTTTTGTGAAAATGTCAGCTGTTTGATGTTTGGTCTGACAGTGTGTTAAAGATATACACCCCATCTCTACTAGTTGTCTAACATTTTGATAACGGATATCAATATGTCTGGACCTTTTCCCCACTGCATAGGCTTTGGCAATGCCTATGGCCCCGGTGTTGTCTTCTATAATTTGGATGGGCAAAGTCGGTGGTGTCCAGATGCTAGATATTAAGGCATCAAACCATATCAGATCGTTCCCTGCCTCTGATAGGCATGCAAATTCGGCCTCAGCGGTGGAGCACGAAACAAATTTCTGTTGTCCCACATGCCAATGGATGGGTGCCCCATTTAACAGTACCAAGAACCCCGAAGTACTCCTATGGATTTTGGTATCTCCGGCCCAGTCCGCATCCGCGAAGCATTCTAATTGGGCCTTGTCTCTATTCTCAGGTTCCAAGCGAAGCACGTAATCTGCTGTGGTCTTGAGATACCTTAATAGCTTTTTAATGGCCAACCAGTGGAACTAGGTAGGATGTTCCACTTGTCTGGATAGCAGGTTCACGGCCAGGGCAATGTCTGGACGGCTCCAATTACTTATATATAATAATGAGCCGACCACTGATCTAAATAGAGTATTATTTTGGAAC